CAAACTTGGGCTGTGCTAGAGGAAGAAGAAGAAGAAGAAGAAGAAGAAGAAGAGGAGGAAGACTCACCTTCACCAATGGACGGCGGGGCGGGGCGATGGCGATCCGAGGCCGGGGCGAACGTGGGGGCGGCGATGCAGTCTCGACCTCGTCCACTTTCGAAGAAGTGTCAAAGTGACCGGTTGAGCTGCTCGAAAACAGCTGGAGGTGGGAGGCGGGATGGTGGGGGCGGTGGCTGGGGACATATGGATGGCAGGCCAATGTTTGGGCGGTTTCCCGCCCGAATGTTCAATTACGGGCGGCCTATCTGGGCCGCAGATCTCACCAGATCGACGACCCAGATAGGCCACCAGTTTTTCAATATTCTGTCGGGCCTACCGGATGCGGTTCAATTTTTTATTGGGGCTCGGAGGCCTCCACGACCCGCATCGAGGCCTCCCGGCCCCAAAAAAATTCAAAACCTCCCTGCAATCAAATTGTGCAAATTACACCGGAGGGAACCGGCGCGGTCCACCGGCCGGTAGAACCAGCCCGGCTCTGGTGGGGGGAGGGGGCCCTGGTGGGACCGGGTATTCAGCCTTGTTTTTTTTTTAATTTAATCTTCCTCACCTTTCATAAGGAATCCCAGTCATTGTTGCTAGGGATTTCAATGCGGCCCCAAACCGACACTTGGATCGCTGGCATATCCCAAATCCAAGTCTTGCATACATTGAAACTGATGAGATATCACTTAACTTCTTTAATCCGTATAGAAGGTTTTATCTCACTCAACGTTATTTACCTGTTTCATAAAATGTGAATCTGGACTGGGTTCTAAGTCTTATATTGATCTTACCTAATGTCTGAAGAGCTACAAGAAGCGTTACAGTTTGCCAAAATCTTCCCGTACAGTCCTTTCCCAAGACAAGATCACACGATGTGTGTTTTTGTTTTGTCCTTCGGATAAAAACCTGATCAGGGTAAAGGATATTATAAACTCAATACTTCCCATCTAAAGATTGACAGGTTTATCTCCTACCTCAAGGATGTGTGGTCCTTCTGGCGGGATTAGAGGACCCTTATCAAAGATGACATAAAATGGTTCAGTAACAGTCTTGCTTTTTTATCCCGTAAAGGCAATGAATATTCTAAACTCCTTGCCTCACAAAGACATTCTAAGGAAACATTGTTACTTCAAAGAATTCAACAACTTCAACAACAGGAAAATAATTCTGAAGAAATGAAATTCTTATAACTCTTGTCCCAAGACATTAAGGATCCCAAATGGAGAATCAATAAAAAGGAATTAGGATCAAGGGTAAACTGAGGAAACATTATATGGACGGGGATATGAATGCGATATTCTTTTTAATGGCAAGGGTTCGCTCTGGGCGAGCAATCATTGAAGCCCCAGAGTCTCTGTTTTGGAGGAGCGGACCATTAGCCATCTCCATAGATTCATGTACAAAAATAGCCTGAGATTTTTTTAACGAACTTTGTAAGTCAGAAACTGAGAATATTGATGAGGATCAACCATACCTGTGGTGCATCACTTGCGCGCGAGCTCCGCACGTGCGGCGCATACCGCACGAGCAAGCATGCGCGCGCACATGATGCGGCGCACCCCGATAAATAGGGTAAAAAAAAAAAATTGGAGAGGGCTGGCTGCAGTAGCCAATGGTGCCCCTCCCTTCTAAAAAATCTAAGGGCACAGCAAAAAAAAATTCGGGCCACGTATTCCTCGTTGAATAGTCTTTTTCCCGAAGGACCCCAACAGTGTGCAAGGATCCCAACATCTCAAAAGACGTTCAACAAATTTTGTGTGGGAGTGGAGCAAGCCAGCAAAATATGTTATGGATCTGAAGTCAGGTCTGTTTTCCAGCAGTTATGGGTTACAAGTTACTACTTACTATTGTAGCTCTCTCTTTCTTTTGTTTCGTTTTCCTACGAGCATTGGCCCTAAGGGCCTTGCTCCACTCGTCACCATTTGCATAAAAGACAAAACATATGACGATGTATGGTTCCATGTTCTAGCAAAGATTCATTCTAGTTCTGCACATTTGGTGAGAAGTGGAGGGATGCCTTGAAAAGCACGTGGTGGGTTGGCATGCTGCTGCCCAGAAAATCACGTGCTCAGTGGTCCCATAACTGCTGAAACACGGACCTTAATGTGAATCAACACCATATATACTTGGCGTGCCACGACCCTAGCATGGGTATGAGCATTGCCTCATTCACGGTGAGGAGGATTTATTTGTTTGCTCTCTCTCTCTCTCTCTCTCTCTCTCTCTCTCTCTCTCTCTCTCTCTCTCTCTCTCTCTCTCTCTCTCTCTCTCTCTCTCTCTTGAGCGAGCGAGCGCGCATGTTCTCACACATCACAACCGCTTTTTTTTTGTTTTTTTTTTCGTGGGTCAGTGACCAGCGCACCGCACCGGGCGCACCACACCGCATGGCGCACCACACACTTGCGCCGCATGTACGAGATCAACGCATTTAGGAAATTGAGGACTTTCTTATTCCTTAGAGTAAATCCTTATCGGCTGATAAAAAAAAGATTTAAAAATGCCTATCTTGAAAGGTGAAATATGGACCGCTCTAATGCTCAGGGAAGAGGAGAAAACCCTAGGCATAAACAAATGCCCAAAGAATTATGGGAAGTCGTTTGGGGTTTTCTCTCACAGGACCTCATGAATTTCTATCACGCAATCTGGATATTAGGCCAAATGAGAGAATTTGTAGGTCATGGGGTGCTATCTCTTCTTTACAAAAAGGGTGATAAAGTTAACATTTGTAATTATCACCCTATGTAATGACCCGCCATAACACAGACTGAGAACACGACTGATTTATGAAGTTATGCCGATGGAATGGATGCCTTGCCAAGATTCCTGCATTCTGCTGTGTTTTCTAAGTCTGTATGTGTGCGTGCCTGTCTAAGTGCTTGTCGGCATGAGTGTGTGTGTGACCCATAAGGGTACTTGCTTGTTTGGCAGGGGCCGTAGGGCCGGTACTTACCTGTGGCCATGGCATTGAGGGTTGCAGCAAGGGAAAACACTCAAGTAGCGGAGGAAGGGGCCCGCGGCACCTGGAGCAGCGGAAAAACACTCAAGTAGTAGGTAGGCCGGTACCGCACCTAGTAGCAGTAGATGTGCCAGGTACTCGAGGCCGAGCAGAAGAAGACAAAGTTGGCATTTTTAGAGGCCCAGTAGCGGTAGGCTAGGTCTAGGCCGGTACCAGTCCATCCAGTCTGAGTCTAGAGCCTGTACGGGCAATATCAGAGTCTGCAATGATATTTCCCTCCGAAAGGGAGGAGGTACCGGTTGCTTGGGAGGCCGAGTGGCCTGGAAGTCCCCGCCCAAGAGGCAAGCAGGCCGCTATATCAAGAGGCCGAGGCAAGAGCTCGGCCTCATTCTTCAGTGTGCAAGTTTGGCGACATGCTGCTGAGAGGAAGAAGTCGGGAGCTTCCACCTTGGCTATGGTGGAGCTCTACCGGTAGGAGGAGGAGGGAGAAGGGGACCAAGGAGGAGAGTGGCGGGGTACTTACCTGGCTATGGTAGACACCATCTTCATCACCTTGTTAGGCGCTACATCTGGAAGGCCCCAGTGGGAGTAGTGCCGCATCAAGGAAGCTCGGGTCAGGGTCAGGCATGGCGGTTGAGTAGGCAGCGGCATAGCTGTAGGGAGTTGACCTGGGGACAGAAGGGCAGCGACATAGCTGCTTTGGGTTGTCCTTTGGACAGGAGGGAGAGCCCTCAGTACTCCGTCATAGCCTCGGCCTGTATGTAGAGGAAGAGGAAGGGTGGCCATGGCTATGGTGCCTGCAGTAGAAGTGGGATTCGGACATTGATTCTGGTTCAGGTTGTTCGGCCATTCAACATTATTATTGTTATTTCTTGTTTGAATAAGAGGGGAGGAGATAAGGAGGAGGAGATTGGTTGGCGAAGAAGAAGAGCCTTGTCATTGATCTATGCTGTAGTACATCATCTTCTTCTTCTTTCTTACTTCTTCTTCTTCTTCTTTCCCTCTCTCTCCTCTCAAGTTCATTCATTTCTTTTCGCAATTGGACGACATTGTACTTTCTGATGTTTGTATACTTCGAAATTGGCCAGGATCGTAACATTGGTATCAGAGCAGGTTCTACTTGCTGGCGAGAGTTGACTTTGCTGCCATAACCCTAACCCTAAGTGGTTAGGGCGGAAGTTAGGGTTAAGTGGGGCAGCGTGGTAAAGGGAAGCTGCCCCCACCTGGCAGGGCCGTGTAGGGTCGACACTAGACCCGACCAGGTTGCTTGAGTGCATGTTTGTGTTGGCGAGACACAAGGTGGGACTTCATGATGCAATTTGAGAGAGGCGACAGTGAAGGGCACCTACAACTTGAATCTGGACTTCAAGGAAGACGAGGAGTGACTTTAGGGCTCCCCTCAAGTTAGGCGAGCTTGAGGGTGGCAGCCATATCTGCACCTACGGAATGCAAGTTGCTGCTTTGATCTTCAACATCGACAGGGGATCCGACTTTGTACTTTGGGGTAGATGTTGACCCTCCTAGATGATAGGACACTAGTGTAGAGGATGCTAATTGGGTCAGGAGGACTATGTGAGAGGGGGGTGAGTTCTTTCATCTGAAGAGCCCGGCCACTCAAGTAAGTGCAGTGCCGCCAGGGTGCCCATGTGTGTGTGCATGAAATTGACTGCCTGTTGGAGTTTTATGGGTTCTTTGTGAACTGCTTACTCGCCTGTTGAGTGAATGGATGGAGTATCTTGTGTGCCATGCTATATCTTTCTACCGTGCTTTATCTATTTCATTCTGAATGGTTGTAGTCTATAGGTTCGTTCTAGAGCAAAATTTCGTTTTTCAATTCGGTAGGGACAGAGTAGGTCTTTGTGGAACTCTTGTTGGTTGGGACCCGGTTCAGACTCCACTGGGACCGTTTGGGACTCCGTGAGACGAGGCCCAAACAAGAAGGGCCCCTCAGGCCAAATCTGTTGTCGTCAGTTACCTTGCTATATCTGATTGGGACTCGGACTTTATGCTTTCGGACCACGACACTCGCTGCGGAGGGGATCTCCGCTGAGACATTCTATCGGACTTTACCGCACGATCCGACGTCTGACTCGCACCTTGAGCACCACTCAATTCTTTCTTGCATTACGTAGTACACTTTGAATCTGATTTGCTGTGTCGTCACGGAGCTGAGTCTGGCTAGGCTTGAGAGGACCACATACGTAGTCGGTCCAGACTGTGTGGTTGGATCAGATCTCTCTGATCTTTATTTCTTTTGTTGTTTTGACTGCTCTCCAGTCCAAATGAATTGCCGCTCCGGCTAGGAATTCTACCTTCTATTCTGATTGCTTTCAAGTTGTTTCTTTTAGTGGGTTCGTTAAATGCCTGCGTCTTCACGATCGCAAAAGAGAGAGAGAGAGAAGAGAGAAGTTTCTGAGTGTTGCTCTTGAGGGAGTGAGGAGAGGGAAGAGGAGTATTCGTCCCAGAAGTGTGAGGAAGTACGGATTCCTCTTGAGAGACTTGTTAACACCCTCGTCCTCCATCATGGCATCAGCAGCAGAATGGAAGCTGCAAATGGACGCTGCCCCTGAGGCAGAAAAAGCGCAGTACCTATTCTTTTATGAAAAAGCATTGAAGAGGGAATAGGAAGAGAAGGAGAAGGAGAGGGAGGATAAGGTAAAGGCTCTTGCAGCCGTTTTCTGTACCGTGTCTGCCCTAACTGATGAGGAGGTGGGAGAGAAAACCGTTCCACTCCTCCGGGCTTTAGTAGACGTCCGGGCTGTTGAGGACCATACTGGCCAACTCGCCAAAGTGTTCGACGAACTCAAGAAGTTGTGTGAGGACATGGCCCTGATGGCGCAGCAGCATCGTGACCAGCTGCAACAGTTCGCTAATGTGCAGCCAGCTCAAAGTATCCTTCCGCCTGCTTACCCTGCTTCTAGTGCTGCGTGTCAGTCCATTCTTGTCCCCCTAACAATGTCTTCTTCTTCTTTGAGTGTGGCCAACAACCTAACCGGATCTGCTGCAGGTCCAGACCCCGTTGTTGCTGCTGCTGCTGCAACGGCAAGTGGCAGTGCAGGGCATTCTGGAACTGTTGCAGCCCAGAATTTGGACCCAGCAACCGTTGGTCCAAGCTGCAACTTTCCTTACATGGATAGAAAGGCGGCGCAGATTCAGTCTAAGTATGACAGAAAGGACGAAATCGAATCTTGGATCAGCTCCATGTGATCCTACTTTGATGTGTTGGGGACACTCCCAGTTACTTAGACGTCGGTCCTAGGAACCAATGTGGAACCTGCCATAAGAGGATTCTTGGAAATCCAAGCTGTACAAGCACGCTATAAAATAATAGACCTGAACAAATGGCTGAAGGTTACGCCGGTAGCCACACTCGAAGAGCTCTTGATCAAGCAATATGTTGATCCACGTGCTGCAACCAAAGGTAGACTTAAGCTTGACAAGCTCAAGCACAACAAGTGGACGGACACCATGCATAGTCTGCAGCAGTAAGTTAGTAAATTTTTTGCTACTTCTGACCTGGAAATGACTGCGCAGTCTTGTTTGGATGTGATTAAGGGTACGGTTCCCTCTACCATAACACATCGCCCGGGGCTCGGACTCATAACGTACAGATTGGCTTACCCTCATGCGGGATGTAGTCAAGCTGGAGGCACAAGACCTCCCAGGTGGATCGAGTGGCAAAAAGGCCACCGGTCGCAAACGGTTCCCAGGCAGCAACCGTTTTTCAACACACGATCTACTTGAGGATGCCGAGGAGACCTTCGCAGAGGATCCTTCTCTTGATGACCATCAAGAGCAAGGCTGCGAGGCATCTTGCTCTTCGTCAGCCCATGAGTCTAAGTATGTGCATGATGATGAATCTATGAATGCCTTCAAGAAGACTGCCTTCAAAAGTAAGGGACCGAGGACCACAGTGAAGAACAATACTAACAGCATTCTTCTTCCCAAGGGAGCGAAGATTCCACCCAAACCGGAAGATCCTGCCACAAAACCATGGGTAGATCTCCGGATAAGTGAAAGTGAGTGGAAACACAGGGTGAAGAAAGGGGTTTGCCTACATTGCACCAAATCGGGACAGTCAGTCCAACATTGTTTCAGAATGCAGCAAGGAAACCAGCAACGGGGGTAGATATATCATCAACACACTCTACAGACGGAGAGGCTGAAAATGTAAGTGCAGTTCTTTCATTGGATTCCGATCCCACTCAGCAAACCTCTCCTGAGACCCCATCCGATGTTGATTCCAAGGCTGAGAAAGTACACATCCTATACAAGGAGCCTTGGGTAGAGTCGAAAGAAATTGACTTCCATGCTCTGTTGACGCGTTGGGCTCATATGAAGCAAGAACGCGCACAAGGGAGAACGAAGTTGATCTTGTTCAAACTCTACATTAATGGTCGTTACATCCGTGCGTTGGCTGACTGTGGTGCAACCGCCAACTACTTCTCACCGCACGACATTCGTAAGGCACGTTTGGGGATGAAGCAAGTGACCTTGCAGAATCCTTGTCGGACCCAAGTGGGCAACCAAGAGGTTGTCACCTCTATGCATGCAGTCAAAGGTGTGTACACTACCTTTGACGCAGACCGCACGCATGAACTGAACTTCTATGTCCTTGATCAGTGCCCCTTCGACGCGGTTATTGGTTTGGGCTGGTTGCAAGCCCAATGTGAAAGAACCACGTGGAAGGACTCACAGTTCATGGTCAAAGATGCCATGGGAATCGGGTGTCCAGTCCTCTTGGATGAGCTGCGCGAGTCCCAAGTAACTTTTCTCAATGCAATGCAATTCGGCAAAAAGTGGCGCAAGCGCAAAGTTGATGAGCAAATGTATATAGCCTTTGTTAGGCCTGCTCATGTACCTTCTATTTTTGTTGTACATAATGATTCCAGTTTGCATGCCGTTTCTACTTCTGAGGGAACTATTTCTACCTCTACTGAGTCTACTTCTAGTCCAAATGACTCTGCTTCAAATCCTGTTGTTTTGGTTGCACCAATGCAATCCGGGATGCTTGCACCTGAATGTGATGATCCACCTCCGGAGATCCCATCAGAAATTCACAACCTTCTCAACCGATTTCCTGAAGTCTTGGCCGAACCGCATAGAGTTCCCGTGCGTCCGGTCCGACACAAGATCGAGTTAATAGAAGGTAGCACTCCTCCAAAAGGTTGTGTCTATCGAATGGGTTCAGGTGAATTGGAAGAGCTGCGTGGACAGATTGATGACAAGATTGGGAAGGGATGGATCAAGCCAAGCGAATCCGAATTCGGTGGCAAACTACGGATGTGTATTGACTACCACAGACTGAATAGAGTAACAAGAAAGAATGCATACCCTTTGCCGCGTATTGATGATTTGCTTGATGCTGCAGGTGGGTGCAAGGTCTTCAGCAAGATCGATCTCAAGTCTGGCTACCACCAGATTGAAGTCGACCCTGCGGACCAGCACAAAATTGCATTCAAAACTCGCGACGGGTTTACGGATTTACCGTCATACCCTTCGGTCTCACGAATGCACCGGCCACCTTTCAAAGTTTCATGGACAAGGTGTTCCGCAATCAGATCAATCGCTTTGTTGTTGTTTATTTGGATGATATACTAATCTTCAGCAAGTCGATGGAGGAGCACATGAGACACTTTGAGGAAGTGTTACAAATCCTCAAGGATGCGCAACTCCATCTCAACTTGGAGAAATCTGAGTTTGGGAGGGACAGCGTCATCTACCTTGGACATCGGTTGTCTGCTGCAGGCCTAGAGCCCGAGGCAACCAAAGTTGAGGTCATCCGCAACTGGTCTCAACCGGCCAATGTCCGCGAGTTGCGTTCTTTTCTTGGTCTTGCGTCATACTACCGTAAATTCTCTATCATCGCCCGTCCGCTGTCCAAGTTGACAAGTAAGAATATGTCTTACACATGGGATGGGGAATGCACAACAATCTTTCAAGCATTGAAAGAGGCTTTGGTGAGTCATCCGGTGCTCCGCATTGCAGATCCCAAACTTACATTCGTAGTAACTACGGATGCAAGTTTGTATGGGATTGGTGCAGTGTTGCAGCAAGATGACGGCGATGGCTTACGTCCGCTTGAATATTATAGCAAACGCATGCTCAGTCACAAGGTAGCTGCCTCCACTTACATGCGAGAACTCAACGCCTTGAGAGAGACACTAGATCATTGGAAACACTACCTCTTGGGTCGTCATTTCAAAGTGTTATCAAATCACGAGACTTTGAAATGGATTCAGACACAGATTAATCCATCAACCACATTGACCCGTTAGCTGCGTGAGATTGATGTGTATGATTTTGAACTTAAGCACAAGAAAGGCTGTTACAATCGCGTTGCGGATGCTTTGTCTCGCCATCCTGAGTACATGACTTGCCTTGTGGGTTCCTATGATCTCCGTAAGAATTTGAAAGAGGAACTCATTCAGCACACTGCCAAGGAACCGGAACTCAGTCCCATCCTTGAGCAGATTCGGGTTGACCCTAGCAGTCGCCTGATTTCCATGAATGTAAGGGCCTACTTTTCAGACGTTACCGGAAACATGACCGACTGTGTGTACCCAACCATGAGTTGATCCTTACTCACTTTTTGGATTTGGCTCATGGCCGGAGTGGACACTTCGGTTTTGAAAAGACATACAGAAGTTTGCTGCAAAAGTTTGTATGGTCTGGAATGAAAGGAATGGCACGAAAGTTTGTGGCTGAGTGTGAAGTCTGTCAACGCATCAAAACATCTCGGCAAAAGCCCTATGGGCTGCTGCATCCTCTTCCGATTCCTCATGGCCCGGGCGAGTCTCTTTCCATCGACTTCACGGACATGGGGAAGAAGAGCGAAAATTGATATTCACAAGTGATGGTGATCATTGACCGCTTTTCAAAGTTTCTAAATCGATTTCGTTACCACCTCATGCCCCAACTGACCTTGTGATCAAGGAATTCCACAAACTGTACATTCTGCAGTGTGGGCCCCCGAAAACTCTTGTGAGTGACCGGGACACTAGGTTCATAAGTGCAGATTGGAAGGACTTCACCTCCCAGATCTATGACATCAAACTCAAGATGACGTCTGACCAACATCCCGAAGCCAATGGACTGGCTGAGGAGGTCAACCAGACTGTGATCCAACTTCTTTGAGCTCTAATTGTGCCTGATCAGAACTTTTGGGATGAGGAATTGCCGATTGTGCAGGGATTGTATAACAACTCCATACACTCCTCCACCGGGATGACACCTAATCAGCTGCACCTCGGCTGGCAGATTTGCAATCCCCTATCCTATCTGTTTCCTGACCAGCCACCTGGCCTGACACCTGGCTAGCCAGGCTACAGCGCTAAGTTTGAATGTTTGCTCAAAGTTGTTGTCGCAGCCATGGAAAAGCGACGCAGTGCCATGATTAAGCATGCAAATAAAAAGCGCCAGCCTGACCCTTTCACAGTGGGAAGTTATGTCTGGGTCAAGATGTCTGAGTTTTTTGAAGAAGAAGGCGTATCACGAAAGCTTCTTCCTCAATACTATAGTCCGTGGAAGATGCTGAATCGAGTAGGAGATGATTCCTTTGGTCCTTCTTACACGATTGATGTGCCTACTCATCTGCGCACATACCCAGTCTTTCATGCATCGAAGTTGTTTCCGTATGAACCATCCGAAACTTTTCCGTATCGAGAATCAATGATTCCTCGTGCAATCAATGGCGGTCACGAGGTCGATAAGATTGTCGAGCACAGTGGAAAGGGAAGAAACAGACAGTACAAAGTCCATTTTATGTACCACCCATTGAATGACTTTTACTGGATCGCTAAGAAAGATTTGTTGCAGAGTGCCCCGCGAGTCGTCAACGCATATGAACGGCTGATTAGTTTCGAACAGCAGCCTAAATTCACTGCTACCCTCACTCCTACGGAACATACCCGGTCTCTCTTTGCTATTTATGCTTACGATGCATAATGCAAGGACTCTGATTGAGTTACTCGCTCGAAGGGACCTCGTTCTTGAGGGGGGGGTAGTGTAATAACCCGCCATAACACAGACTGAGAACACTGCTGATTTCTGAAGTTATGCCGATGGAATTGATGCCTTACCAAGATTCCCACATTCTGCTGTGTTTTCTAAGTCTGTATGTGTGCGTGCCTGTTGAGTTGCGTGCCTGTCTGAGTGCTTGTCGGCATGAGTGTGTGTGTGACCCGTAAGGGTACTTGCTTGTTTGGCAGGCCCGTAGGGCCGGTACTTACCTGTGGCCGTGGCATTGAGGGTTGCAGCAGGGGAAAACACTCAAGTAGCGGCGGCAGGGGCCCGCGGCACCCGGAGCAGCGGAAAAACACTCAAGTAGCAGGTAGGCCGGTACCGCACCCAGTAGCATTAGATGTGTCGGGTACTCGAGGCCGAGCAGAAGAAGACAAAGTTGGCATTTTTAGAGGCCCAGTAGCGGTAGGCTAGGTCTAGGCCGGTGTCGGGCGGCTGCCTACCAGCCGGTGCACCCCTTTCTTCGAGCTAGACCGTCTTGGCATGTTCATTTTTCCTTTTTTTGCATGATTGGAAGCTTGTATGCATGAGACCTGAGGGGCCTGAGGGAAAATCTTGGGACTTTTTGTTTTGTAGTAACGTATGAACAAGTAGGGAACGGAGCAATCCACGCGAGATCGTGAGCGGGGCCAGGAACGGACCAAATCAAAGATTTCGACATAACGTGAAAGGAGCAGCTGAAGTTGGGGTTAAAGGAGGCATCCAGACGATGAAGTACTGACAGTCATGGAGGTCCTCCGATAAGCCATGAGACTGTGGTTGAGCCTGGCGGTGACACGCGAACACTTGGTAACGCCCACGGCCTGGGCATAACTACGACAAGATGAGCGGCTCAGGCAGTCGGGCGCCGGAAGCCGAGGGATCCAGGTTTAGTTCCAAGGGTCGGCGTTAAGGGGGAATCAGCTTCGCATGCGGGGATGGTTGATGACGATCTCTTTTTTGGCACTCCCGTGGTATGATCAAGAGAAGTGCAATCGTTCCTGGTGGAAAAAGGGGTTTTTGTTTTCATGCTTGGGAAAGCACGATGGCCGAGGGGAATGACCACGATTCCTTTCTACTGAATTGACGGGGGAGAACAAACTAGCCGCCCAAGCAATAAGGGCAAAAAGGGTTCGAAAATGGAGCTGCGCATCTACAGGGCCACCCGTATAATGAAGTTGGGCCGCACGTAGCATCCAGGGCTAGCTGACCTGGCAGGATCCCGCGAGGAAGGATGGGCAGCTGGGATCGATAGTAGCGCGCCCACAGGTTCTTGGTAACCGAACAGAGAGGGGGTGCGCGCGATACAGTCTTCTTGCCAACTGATTCGAAAAAGTTAGTTACACAGTGGGCAGTGGAGAACTGGGAGCCGCACGCGCTCCCTTGGTCGTGACGATTCCGATTCTCGAGCGAGGGTGTACCTTGGCAAAGAGACTAGAAGCTTGGAGTGTCGATTAAGCTGCCAAGCCCGGGGGCGGGAGAGAGAAGACTTGGAGCATTCTGCGAAGAACGAAATAAGGGGAGGAGCGGTCTATGCTTGATCCGAGAGGTATGATCCTATTGGGAGAAGGGATGAGAATACGGATGAAGGCGAGAGAAAGGAAGGAGGTGGGAAAGAAAAGGAGAGAGGGAAAGGTGGAGAGGGGAAGGCGGAAACTTGGGCAAAAATTCCGACCTTGGCGCCTTGGAAAGGAGTGCTCGGAGTGAGTAGGTAAGGAAAGAAGGAGGGAAGATATAAAAGGTAGGGAGCAAGACAAAAAAAAAGAGGAGGGGAATACGGCGTCCGACGCGTACCGGGAAAGAGCACGTTAGGTGCATGCATGCGTACGGGGGTGTTCAAAGAGCTACACTCTAGCTCGCTTCGGGCTTCGAAGGAGATGCATTAGTAACGCTCGGTACGGGCTTAGCGGCCGAGAAGGGAGGAAGAGAGAGGGGCTGAGAGAGAGAGAGAGAAAGAGAGAGAGGAAGGAGTTCCTACTAGCCGCACGGGAAAGAGAAAGATGGGGATGCGCGTGGATGTACGAGCGTTCGAGAGGACCGCGCTCGACACGAACCTCACGTTGTAGTGAGAGAGAGAGAGAGCGAGACAGAGACGTGTGCGGACGTGCGGACGTTCGGAAGTCTTCGACAAAGCTCGATACTCACC